TGAAATATATAGTTTTGTGCTAGCATGTTTTTTTGTTGTTTGTTGTTGTTTTTGGAACAATTTCTCTTACGTTTCAGCGTGGGCGTGGTTTGTGGTTACGGAACATTTACAAATTACAGTTATTAATGGTTTATAACATTTCTGTTCAATTTCGTTGCTTTGTTGGTTATATTTTGGTTTTGTCGATTGTTTCCCATATTTTGGGTTGATTTTTGTCTTTTTTTTTTGTTTGCTTTGCTTTTGCGTTTTCTTTTTTCTGCTTTTGCTCGCTTGGCGTCGTAGAGTTCCCGCTGCTTACATAATGAAGTGGTACAGTAGGTGAATAGATATGCATATATGTATATAAAATATGTGAAGGCATATATATATATGTACATATACTAGCATACACACATATACATATGGCTATAGCGCAATATGCGTGTGCACACACACATTTACGTATAGCATTTATCGTATGCATATATGTATATATTTATATATATGTGGTATATCTGTATGAGAAATAATTATTTCTTGTTTCTCATTTTCTTTTTTTTTTTCTTTGTACATTATATGCAAGCTGTCGCTCTCTTTTTCTCTGACTGTGGCCCTGGCCTCTGTATATGTCTGTCCCTTTCTCTCTGTTTCGCTCATAGACAGAATAACAAATACATTAAATAATTAAAAACTCGTCAACATGAGCGTTGTTAACAATTCAACAATATCTACTTGAATGATTCGTGAAAAGTGCAATCGTATACCACGGACACAAACCAGGGCTGCAAGCTCTAGAGGTGAATTTTGGTATATAGTTTTGTTTCTATAAAACAGCTGGCAGCACTGACTGAGCCCAATTTTTGTATGTCAAATTTTAGCATGACGTTTCTACGAGACGCTTGCAACTGATTTTCCCAATGAACAAAAATGGCAATATATATGTCGTATCAGTTATATCAAATCTGGACTGTAGTATTGTCGAAATTAAATTTACAGGCTTGGCGCCACTAGTCTGAGTTACATGTTTGGCAGCATTGCCATCGCTGCCTCTGGTGAAATTTGGTCTTTCGATAGGCAGCAGAGTTGCGAAAAGAAATCCGCAAATTTGTGTAAACATTATGACACCTATGCAGAAATCTTGATTTATGTTGATATATATAAAAAAAGTTTATATATATACACGGTATTTGGGTTGAGGTGGTCAGCATTGCAGATAACATTATCTTACCTTAGACATAGGCTTAGACCACTCTTTATATCAATGCGCAGGCTAAATATAACTTGTTGTGCTTCAATACAAATAATAATTATTTTTGTTTTTGGGAATATTTTTGTTTGTTTTTTGAAAATTGTCCTGCTGCGATGCATGTAACACAGTAATGAACATTGATTTGAAATGGAAGTACATAAGTTGTTTTTTTTTTGACTTGAGTGAAGAGTCAAGGCAATATGTTAACTTTAATATTTTATTTGAAATGCAAACGAAATCGATAGATGATTGCCGATAAGATTGGTGTGACCGTGTGAGCTGCGGTATAGAACAGGGATGCACAATTCGATAGCGTGTTGAATTTGTTTTTATTTTAATTAGAGTTTATTGTAAGTATAAATACTATTTATAAACTTGATTGCAGTTGTATATATTACAATTTTGCATCAGATGAGCTGTATGCGCTCACAAGAAATGTAGTAGTTGTGTTGGAATTGCAAGTGAAACCGATCACCTCTAATCGATAGTGAGAGTGTGACCATATGCGCTGATTTGAGATTTTACCAAAGGTCACATATTGTGATCGCGTGTTGGATTTCTTTTTATTTTGATAACAGTTTGGAGCAAATGCAGGCCGTGTTAATGCATTTAATTGCATTTAAGCGATACAAATAGCAATATAGTGCGCGCGTGCATGTTTGTATGCGTGTGCGTGCCCTAACGGTCCGAAGCTGTGCCGGCTGCTGCTGCTCTCCACATCATTGACTTTTTGGACTTCCCCCGATCAGCTCGTGCAATGCAGACTCAACTTGATAATTTGCATTTGGATGATTTGCCCTATATCGAACGTGATCTTAACTTGTCACAAAAAGTAAGAAAATATACTATATCTGATATTATATATCATATTCTTTATACGACATTTGTTTGTAGGTTTCCCTGGCCTTTCTACTTTTCGGAGATCAGCACGCCTTAGCCACCTACATATTGCAGCGGCTGTTAGCGCTGATGCGAGCACCGCCAGCGGATCAGCTTCACAGTGATCTACTGCGTCAGTACGCCCAGACGAATCCGGCCAACTGGCGTGGCCATCTGGTCGAGGCGCTCTGCATCATTAATGCACGCCAAGTGCTCCGCAAATTGGGCTTCTGCTGGGCTGAGCTGCACCTGCACTATTTACCCCATGTCCTGGAGCTGACGCTGCACGTGCATCCGCTGCTGAAGGCCCTGTACAATGTTTGCGAACAGCTGACGGTGGCGCAGAGCGGGCGCCTCGTCCTGGACATCAACGACAAGCTGGCCAGGAGGCGCACCTCCGGCGAGCATGATGAGCCCTTGCGCTTCTATGACTACTCGTACTTGGAGATCTTTCTGCTCGACTGGCTGACGCGTCATCATCTGCGCCTGGGCGACATCGATGCCATTGGCAGCGATGTGCAGCTGCTCATTGAGTACTTTAAGTTCAATGACCTCAATTCCCTGGCCACGCTGCTCATCCAAACGGTCAACACCAGCGCTAACGAGTCCAGCAGCCATTCGCCCGTGAACAAATACAACACGGACGATTTGGAAAGTACTCCAGTTGCTCTAAGTGCAGGAGGAGCTGCTCCTTTTCTAGCTGAAACTTCAGGCCCAACGCCCTGTACTGCACCTGCTGCTCCATCATCAAGCATCAGTAGGCATCGACGCTCCAATGCTCTACAAGTGCATCGGGATAGGGCTGGAATATTGCTCATAATCAATCAGCAAAATTTTCACCGCAATGTGAGCGAGAAGTTAATGGTGAGTAAGAAATCGAGTTATCAGTAAATTTWAAATAGATAATTATTAATATATAGAATATTAGCCTTTTCAATCAAAATTTTTAAATGCATATTCAAAAAGTGTAGCGATTGTTATCTATGCTTGGCCTATCGATAAATATCTATCTACTTTCAAAAAGTCCTTTTATTTGTCGATTTTTAGCGCATTTGGTATTTTTTATTTTTTCGGTGCGTAACGTATTTTTTGCAATCTATTTCGACTGGAAGTATGGTAAAGAAAATAAATAGTTAACAGCAAAAACTATTCGACCAAAACAGAAATTTATCGAATATTTAAATTAACTATCAAATTACTCATATTTGTATGTAAATAAACACAAAGACCAAAATGAGTATGTGAGCTGTAAACAAAAAGTTTAAAACCTTTAATTCGTGTGAACATTTCGCAGACATTTTTACCCACCCAGAAGTTGACGCAACGAAATGGCACCAATGCGGATAAACAGCGTCTCATTGATGTTTTCTCGCCGCTGGGCTACGAAGTAGAGGCGCACGATAACGTGGACCATTTGAAGATGATCGCCCTCATACGCGGTGCCTGTGCCCGTTCCGTGCTCCGGGATTCGCTGATTGTGTGCATATTGTCGCATGGATTTGAGGGCGCCGTTTACGGTGCGGATAGCATACCACTGAGCATCGAGGACGTCAAGAAAGTACTATGCGCCGATGAGAGTCTGCACGACAAACCCAAGATGTTGTTCATCCAGGCCTGCCAGCAGAACGAGAAGCAACTGAAAACGGTAGACGACCGTAGATTGATTGTAATCGAATTTCTCACATTCGCAGTTCCTTTGCATGCATTTACAGCGCAATGTGAATGCCACGACGCAGTCGGCAAGCCAGTTGGCAAACATGGTGGTGGCCATGTCCACGGTGCCGGGATTTGTTGCTCTACGGCACAGCGTGCAGGGCAGTTGGTTCATCCAGACGCTGTGCGACACTGTGCAGAAACATGCGAAAAGGTAAAGATGCCATTCCTTAACTCAAAAATTCAGCTCAGTACACTGTCAGGTTTAACGAAATCGTTATCTAATCCTTGCCTAATCTTGCAGCGATCACATCCTGGACATTCTGACACTTGCTGCCGGACAGGTGATTGAGAAACGCGGCGATAAGGATCAGAAAATGGTGCCCATTGTTATCAATACGTTGACTAAGAACGTTTATCTCTCCGAGGCCGCCTGACGCTGCAGAATTTCGACCATTATTTCACTGTGTTGGGATCTGTGTATTAATTCTAATCATTTCAGTTAGTCAATTTATGTACATATATTTAGTTTATTCTTGATTAACGACATGATTTGTGCCTCGTGCTAAAAGAGTTCAGCCCGATGCTGCTATCTCTGTCTGATTCGCTGCGCACTTTATAGTGTAGAACGGCAGGACAATGGAAAACTAATTGTTTAATAGCGTTGCATTTATAGCGTTAGTATGAAATGTATTCCGTTTTAAAACTCGATACTCTATGGTATATACGTATATATAAGCTAATCTACAATTGCAATTATCGATTATTATCGATAATAGGTATGTGTTATGCTGGAATATGCATTAAGTCTCTAGAGGAACTCGACTGGGTTGGCTCAGTTCAGCTTTCCCATGATCAGCAATATATATATACTTATTGGGCTATGCCACGCCCCTTTCTGCGTGTTACATACATTTTAGTAAAGCTATTATACCCACAGTTAGGATTTGCATATATGTACAAGGAATTCGGAATGTTTTGAAGTATACAATATAGTAATAAATCCATGCAAGCGTTACGATTCAACAATTGTATCAAAAGAGGTTTCAAATGCTGAAATAAAAAAATATGCAATATTATTATTGTATTAGTATTGAGGATTTATTGTTGTGTTGAACAGAAACATTTTTTTTATTGACATTTTCAGAATTTTGAAAACATTTCGTTTTCAGTTTGTTTTTACATTTTTTTGGTCTTTTTTGTTGAGGTTTTTACATTTTTTTGTTGGTTTTTATTTTGATTTTGATTTTGTTGTTTTCCTTTTCTGTTTGGTTTATTTTATCCATTCGTCGTATCACTTGGTTTTGTGTTAAACCAATTTAAAGCACGTAACCGCGTTAGCCCCAGCGTTTACGTGAAAATCCGCCCCTAAATTATCAAATTCCCCTGGAAATTGGGATTGTAGTAAACAAAGAGGAACAAATAGAAATGATTTGTTCCTAGTAAAATTATAAAATTAACCTTCAGAAGTCAACTTATTAAGCTGACTGCGTAGCTTATTAATCTCCCTAGACTTTGGTTGATAGTCGGCGATATTATCAAGGATCATACGTGCAAACTCCTTGCTGTCCGATTTGTTAGAGAAGCGGCGCAAGTGCTTGAGTATCAGACTGGCAATTTGAGCACGACGCCTGGTATCTGTCGTGGTCATAGGGATCAGCGTGGAGAAGCTGATCATAAGTTGAGGAATACCCTTCCAGCTACTGGAAAGAATGGCATCGAATAATCCATGCGAGATTTTGCTGTTGCGATGAGTGGACCACTCCATGGCAATGTCAGTAATCATTGTCCAAACGGGAGTATCGGTCACTTCCTTCTCGTCCATTTGACTGATTAAATAGGCGGTGCACCGTTCACGCAATCCAATCGCGCCATCTATGACCAGTTTATTCATTTTTTCTCTCTGCTCATCAAGCAGGCTCTTAATGCAATCGAATAGCGGTGTTTTGTCCTGCTCAGGTGTCGTGTAGACAATATCCTCAGTCATCAAGCGGCGCATCGTCTTTTTGGCGGCCTCGACCAGAGGCGGAAACTTGTCGTTCTTGCTGCAATTTTTGAAGAGCTGATGAAGGCAGACCACTGTGTCCACTATAATCTCCTGCTGCGGTTGCAATGTGAAGAATAGCTCCACCAGATCCAAAATCCGGACGCGCAAGTGCAACAATGTGGTTTCTGTGATGCGTACCGACTTGGGTGGACGCTTCTTCGAGTCCTTACCCTGCTGGCTGTTGCCCTTGCCCTTTTTGTTCACCTGGAAGGCGGCCTCCAGTGCCTTGTTGAGCCGTTCGCCCTGCTCCTCGTCTACGTCATTCCAATCGATGCTGCTGGCATCGTCATCATTATTCGCGTCATCAAGCAGTGCTTTGCGCACATTTTCGCGCACCACCTCGAGATTGGTGGCTTCATCGATATCCATAGCAGCCTCCTTATCATCATCGGCATCATCATCATCATCATCATCATCGTCGTCGTCGTCGGCGCCATCATTGTCGTCGTCATCTTCATCATCTTCGCTTGTATCACCATCCCCGTCACTATTCACATAGATATCCGAATTACCCACTAGGGGATTTTTGGTGATATCCAAAAAGCCCAAAATCTGCTTCAGATTATCCCTGCTCAAGTGCTGGATCAATGTGGCGCCGACGGACTTGACCAATTGACGCCAATAGTTGCCCGTTTGGAGCAATAATTGAATCAAAGCCTCTGTTACGACCGACTGCCATGAGGGCTCCGATTCAGAGGCCTAATGAAAAAAAAAAATAAGAAGACGAATTAGAGCAATGTTCATTTAGATCTGCACTGCTAACAGCTCTTCCACTGCTAACAGCAGCAGTCACACATACACTTACACTGGACTCGTTAGCCTGCGACTTCGACTTGATTGCATTCTCCTTGCAAATGAGCAAGTCATCAATTATATCCAATTCCATGTTGCTGTTGGGCATCAACGTTGCGATCCCAATGAACATGATAAGCGTATCGAAAACAAGACCATATGCCTCGATTTCCGTTTCCTTGATCGGATCCGATTCCACCACCTTCTGCACCTTTTCCCATGTCTTGCGCAGCTCTGGAGTCAGCTTAATGCGCAGCTTCGACTCGTTGCCAGACTTGAATAGCTTGCGTGAGAACGGCAGCAAAAGCGTACGCAGCACTTGATTCAAGTCCTCTAACTGCTCTTTATTCACGCCAAGCTTGTGGACCAGGCAGTTGAACAACGACTCCTCGCAGCGTGAGGCTGCCTGACGACTGAAGATGGCCGCATCGCCGGCTGTGCACTTCTTCAGTTGATCGTCGAGATGGAAAACTGTCGCATTCAGTAAAAACGGCAACTGCTGATTGCGCTTAGAGTGCATCAGATTTTGCATTTGCTTGAGGCAATGCTCGCGATCCGATGGAGTCAACTGCTCATTGTTACTGGTGAAATTTTCAAAATAGAAATCGTACATCTGATCCAATCCCTCCGCAGACAGCTTGGTGAACAAGGTCTGAGTGTATTTAGGCGTTTGTGCAATCATATCTAGATTCAGCTGCTGCTCCAGCAGGGGACGTAGAATTTGCAGCTTGCTGTCATCCTGCTCAAATATTTGATCGAAACATAGTATGATTGCCGCCTCAAATTGACGGCATATGAAGCGCATCTTATCCTTGGCATCGCCGCCTTTCTTCTTGTTATCAGATTTTTTCATAGCCCTAAGCTCCTCAACCAGCATGGTTACCAAGGGCTCAGCGGCAAATATACTCTTCAGCTGGACGCGAGTCTCAGGTTTGTTCTCATCCATGTAAACGATTATATTCGTCAGAGTACTGATGAAGCAACTCTTCTCTGCGATGTTATTAGATGGCAGCTTTGCGATAACATGCTTGAGCCAAGCCTCCAACGCCTGCTTATTGCTGCATTTTGCCAAAAATTTACCCAATATATATGTAGTATATTTGAGCAACGTTGGTGCTTTCAAATAGAAATTAAACAGCTCCTCGTATTGTGGCGGCTGATTGCGCCATAGTATTGACTGCAGCTGCTCTAGGGGCAACACTGTTGGATATCGATTGTGGACTGTGATCAATAGATCCAAGGTGTGCAGCTTTTGTGCCGTTAGAGGCTTATTTATCTCTGGCTGCAGAATATTCCAAACGTAAGTCTTGAAGTTCGACACGTCCACCTGGAAAGGAATAAGTACACAGGCTCAATTGATAGCACAACTGTGCTAATGGTCAGTTGATTTCAGTTCTCACCGCAGCGAACGTGGAACCCATAATGTCAGCACACATTGATGTCAGATACTCGCGTCCCTTTAAATTGGGAACCAAGATTGGATAGACCACTTGTATTAGATCTGATGATGGCTGATCAAAATATTCGGTCTGCATGAGGCACAAAACGGTAATCAATTGCCCAATGCCGGCCAGCGACTCCTCCTTGCCCTTCGGGCTGCCATTGCACGGCAGTTCGTGTTTTAGCAAAGTCAACAAGTCAATTGGATTGAGGCCAGGCACCGAGCTCAAAATAGTCAGTATATACCCAGCGCTGGTAGCCACGGTATCCATGTCGTCGGCACCGGTGCAGCGTATCAAGCGCTTTAAGGCATAGGCACAGGTGGCTGTGCGCTGTAAGCAAAATTATTGAAATCAATATTCCTTGAATGAGAGATAACGGCAATCGTTTGTATATATGCATTTGATAAGCCACTATTCTCTACTGGATTTATTTTTTTTTTTTTATTTTAATTTTTTTTTTCGTTTTATCTTCATCTAAAATTTCAAGACTCTAGCTCTAAAGATGTAGGAGTTAAAATTTAATAACTGATTTTCGCTAAGGCAGATGCCGGCTTAAGCTTCAAGTGTTCTTAAAATACTTTCAATAGATATAATTTCATTGTTGATTTCATCATCTATAGAAGTTTACTTTATATGGTCCGGCCACGTCTCCTCTGAACATTACAAAAATTTTAGCTTGATTCACACTTACATTTTGTTCCGCCTACACAAATTAAGTTTTAAAATTATTTTACCATTTAAAAGTAACTTTTTGCCATTTCATTTTCTAACTTAAAATTTGCATTGACATTTTATGAAAGCTTTCTAGAATTCAAATTAGCTTTACACCGCCATATTTTTTCCGTTACAAGCAATGAATGTAATTTTTTTTATTACTTTTTTTTACTTAGCATTTTGTTGCATCAATATTAGTAAATTGCATGTAAGACTTGAATTATATATTCATTCAATGCAAACGACGGACAGTAATTGCCACAATGGCCAAATCTTATTGGTTTTTGGCAACTGTGGCGGCGGCCAATTTTTTTTTTTTTTTTTTTTTTTTTTGACACTCCAAAAATTGTAAATTGAATTTGTATTTATTTTTTTTAGATATTTAGTATTTTTGTTATACTTTTGCAAAGTCACTG